TAAAAAGGAATAAAAGGAGGGTGAATAAGATAAATCGGATTAAAAAACCTGAATAGGAATGTTTCGATGCTCATTTTTTGTAGAATTTCATGTGCTCATTTTCCAGTCGTACAAAGTATCTCTTATTGATATGACCGATGTTCACTGCTAAAAATGGTTATGTGTGAAAATAAACGCATTTTTGCGACACAAATTGTTCAAAATATTTCATATTTCAGGTCTGTAGCTCTTGTTGCAACAGCAATCGCAATCCTCGGTGTTGATTTCGATGTCTTCCCACGTCGTTTCGCCAAAACCTACACATACGGCCGCAGTGTCATGGATCTTGGCACAGCTACATTCGTCTTTTGTTTTGCTGTTGTCGATGTTTTTCGAGATTTCCCGGGCAGAGCCAGAATTCCGCAACCACCAACACAAACAAGGTGTGATCCCAGATAAGAATTTTATTATTCTTTCTCGAAGTGATACGGTTTCCCTGATTTTTCAGATGCGCATTTATAAAAATTTTTAGATTCTACGTGCATTTTCCGGGTATAGTTGATAGAAATAGAAAAGGATATTATTTATTCTTCCCTGAATCTGACTTCTAGCAACCCCTCGTGTACCATAACCCTGAAATTCCTATTTGGAATGACTACTTCTTGGAATAATCCTGAAATTCATATTTGGAATGACCACTTCTTGGTCATTCCAAGTAGGAATTTCAGGGTTATGGTAGACGAGGGGTTGACAGAAGTCAGATTAAGGGGAGAATAAATATCTTTGAAAGCTTGTGTTTTAGTATGAAGTTGTGAATCGCTGAGTTCTTTCCCGCCATTGATGTTGTTGGCTGCTTCCTTACTGTGCTTTATTCCGAGCTCTTTTCCAGTCATTTCCGGAAACTGCATGCTTTCATCCACGTAGCTCTATGTTGCCTTTTTAGGAAATTTCGTTGAGCTTCGTTTTAGCTATTAATCAAAATATGTGAATTGCAGGTTTTTTCTTCAGAAGCATTCGAGCAGTACAATACTTTTGTGCCTGGGAGTCGGGCGAGCACTGCTTTTATATCTGTTTGATTATCCGCAGCAAGTTGTCGAGTATGGCGTGCATTGGAATTTCTTCATTACGCTCGCTTTTTTGAGGGTACACATTTTCGTGCTTTAGATTATTTTTGCTATTAATAATTCTTATTTGTGCCGTATTTTTTACTTATTTTTTCTTGCACTGGAACTTTTCGAGGCTGTTAAAGTGATTGTTCCCTCTTGTTTAGATTTTGGGATATATTTATATTTAAAGTTTGGACATAGGAAAAAACGGTGGTTTATAAGGAGGATCATCACAAATTTGAGGACTGTTCTTCTTCGTTTTAATTTACTTTAATTTATTTAATACATCGTTCCTAGGCCTGGTTTCTTGCTTTTGGAAAAACGGGAGTGATTTTTTTCAATAAATATTTAAATATTTTTATTTTCTACAAATGTTTCTTTGGCATAACTGCACATCCTGGTAGCATTACTAACAGGGGTACGCACACTGGTAGCTGAAGTGCTATTGGTGTAAATGTTTTTCCAGGTGCTATTGGTGTAAATGTTGCTTAGTGCTATTGGTGTAAATGTTTTTCCAGGCATTGATTTTTAAAGTTTTTTTTAAAGTCCACTCAATTTCTCTAACGTTTCAGGCTATTGTAAAATTGTTGGGTCGTCGTTTCCATGTTTTCTATGGGATTATCATCATATCTGTATATCAGTACTTATTGGTTGAGAAAAATTTACAGGTTTTACTTTTTTACTTATTTTTGCCATGTTATTGCTGTTGAAACAAAAAAATATTTCCCAATTTTTATGCTTTATTCAGCTGAAAATATTGTTATTCTAACCCTTGTTAACTTTGAATTTCTCTTCTAGGATAGCACTTCTGTCAGGTTTTTACTTTGTTTAATAAGTCTCCTTATCAATAAAATTGCTAGCTCATCATGTTCTGTGAGTGGTAGTTTTTGGAACAAGGTAGTGATACTCAGCACAAATTAGTTGAATTTCAAAACTGCTAAAGACTTGCCAAATGTTTCTGTGGGGGTGAATTTTCGAATACAGTACATTGCTGATATAACTAATTTTTTTAAGAACTGGTTGCTCTCGGAAACAGTAAAGAGGGACAGTTTTGTATCGATGAATCGTGAAGGCATTTTCTCCATGTTTGGATATTTATCGATATATTATTCTGCATCGGCTGTTGCCAGCTTCTTGTATTCCACAGGGTTAGTTAAAAGTGCATTTTTTCCATACATTTTTGCATAAATCAGTTCTTTTTTTGGTTTTGCAAGATAATTTTTACATAAAAACGTCAGAATCACTAGCAGACTGACCTATAGGCGACGCAGCATTGTCGAAAAATCAGAAAATTATTTGCTGCACAGTTCAGTCTATGAATTTTCTCTGAACTGTTTTTGTCTCTGAATTATGACTGCTAGCATTTGTTTATGGTATAATATCTAGATTTATGTGCTTATGTTTGCCCTGATAATTTAACTCGAGAAAGACGAAAGCTAGGAAGTCAACGTTTTCCGATGGGAGGAAATAATCTTTCATCATCTACGGAGCACGGAGGGGTGACATCGAACTAGCGTTGTGTCTTTGAAATAGCAGACGTTGTGAGCTTGTAATTAGAATGTTTTAGTTCCAAAACATTTTAAATTCTACTTTTTCTTAAACTTTAGCCTCAGGTCCAAGTTGAGGATAAAGTTATAACTTCTGAATGAAGCAATCTGTCTGAAATTCTACCGATTTGATTGCCATCAGCTGGTGGTGATGTGTTTTTTTAGACTAAGACAAGAAGCTGGACTGTACATCAGTACTGATACTCTAGTTTAGCACAAAATATTCCTACTTTCAGGATAAGGCTGAAATCATGGTTCTACCGATGTTTCCAACTGCTAATGATCGCAGCGATGCTTTTTGTTGCTCAGAAAACAGCGGAAATATATGTTGGCCCACCGTCACGACGAATTGCAAATCTTCCATATGTTCTTGAAATGGTTAGTGCATTCATTACTGACACCTAATCTCAAGAATTTTATAGCAGTCAGCCTTTTTTAGGATCTACTTTCTCATAAAAGCATGCCCGCTTCTTTAATAAAAGGATAAGGGTTTTTTGGTGGAACTTTTGGCAGATCGCCAGCTCTTTGATAGTTTTTTTACGGATAAAAGAGCGAAAGTCGTTTACAAGCATAGCGCAGTGATAATTATTGTTGCTGTTGTGTACTGAAGGCCAAAGATTCGAATTCCCCGGTGCGGCTGCAAAGCTTTTCTGCGATTCAGATCAATCACTAAAAAACGTTCAGATTATTCTGGAAAATGGATAAATTCCTGTCCAAATCGTTTGAGAAACAGTGTTTAAGCATCCCATGAATACATATATTAGTTTTGGTGAAATTTGTTTAACTGAAGCTGAGAGTTACGTCTATAGATGCCTTACTAAAAACAGACTACACGTTTTCGATGGCAAATTTCATAGAAAAATGCTGAGGAATTGCTTTTAAGTTTACTTCCAAACATTGGCTAGGATAGGGCTCCATCGACAGCCTTGCCAGTGAGTGATTGTTGTGGCGTCCGAAATAAATTTATATGCTTTTGCCTTCATAAAGAGTTACTTTTAGATAGTTGGTGCCTTTATGAGCCTACACTTTAATTGTTTAGTGTTTTTCAGTAATTGTTCTTAATTTTTTGATTTTTCAAAATATACAGTATTTTTAGTCACCGATAGAATTTTGGAAGAAATACACTGCCAGAGTTTATATATATATATATATTTTTTTTTTTTCAAATGCTTTGGTATTTGCAGCTGGTTTTTCACACCATTTTAATGGCTGGAGTTTTGTTCGTTCAGTTAGTTTCAGTTTTTGGATGGGCAGCACATATGCCACAATTCTCTGTGGGTTAGTTTTTTTTTTTCTTCTAAATAACTGTATTTATTATAATTTGGATCGAATTTTTTATGCTTGGTGTTGTAATAGTAAATTCTGCAGGGTTTTAAAATTCTGTGTTTGAAATTAGAGAAAAATTAGGCCGGGACCAACCAGGGTGCTACAGGATATGATAGCGGCAGTGATAATCTG